CCTACACCGGCAGGTTATGATTCAAAATCCTCTAACGTGTGTTCACACTCTACAGCTAAGCCCTTCAGATAAACACAAGCTAATAACCCACGTGATAGTTTAAAATCTATTTTTATTCAAGTGGATGGCATATTTGAAATCCAGTTTATTTATAATTAGAATAATATGAATATATACATTTACATACTGGACTGTAATTGAATGACAAATTAAAAGATTTTTAAAAGACTTAAACTAATATTATTGCAATGTATAAGTAAAACACCATTAAGCAACTTCTAAACATTAGGAAATAAACAGATTTCCCTTCAGTGCCAATCTGTAAAAACAAGATGAATTGCCAAGAATATGTTTATAGGCCTGTGTTTGAATTTATATCTCTTTAGTATCAAGGAACATACCATTACAAACATAATTATGAAACGTGTCTATCCTTGTGTTAAAACAAAAATCTTGCTTGTTGTTATATTGTTTATATTGCTGAATATATATATATTTTTCAGTTCAGTATTCCATGATTGTGCATATTTATTCTATTTACTTCCGTCAAATAATAAATATATACATTTATACATACATGTCATGAACATTTGTCTGTTTTAAAAAGTCCTTCATTAAAAGTTACTACTATGAAAGCCTAAATTATGATTTCTCCAAATGCTAAATTAATTTTTGTTTGTTTCAGTTCGCTATATTTTCCCACGTCTGTATACTTTGAATCTAAATTACGCCTGTTTTTATACACAAAAAAATCTCATTTTACAAAACTCTATTCCTATTATATTTGTTTTATACAATTATTGTTGTTGTTGTGAAACAGTTCCCTTACCTGCTGCCAGTGCCATCGCTGCGTCCGTGGTACTCACAGGTGCACTGGGAAGGACAGAAGGGTTGTGCCACACACCAGCAGCTCAGGAGAACCTGGGCCACTAGCAGACGATACATCCTTCAGTCAGATGAACCAGCGCGGACACACACACTTCCACACATCAGATCCCACTCGATCATCAGTGGACAAAAACTCCTTTAACAGTCCCCAAGGAAAACCAATAAAAGCATGAAAAGTGCCTCGCAGCATGCATCTTGTTAAGCATACTAACAGGTGAGAGGGGCGCAGGAAGCCGAGAGGAGCGTGAGGTGCGCGCGGGGATAGGCGGGAGGAACCCAGATTAGTAAAAGGATTTCTCAAGGCTGAGTAGGTCACTACAGTTGAGCAGTGTGGGATGGGAAGTGTGTACGAATCTATTTGTGTGTATGAGTGCGTTAGTGTGTGTGACTGAGTTCGAGGAGGAGGATAAGCCCTGCAGGCACACGCTAATCGGCTAAAACCACAAGAAGGTTCTCTCAGCATCATCACGTGACCGCTCGCAGACACTTTTCCATCCGTCACCTGGTGTATGAACTGATTCTGGCTGCGCTTCGGCTCTTTCCGTCACCTCCCTCGCCTCGCGCCGTGAAGTGTTTGCGTGCTTGGACGCTAGATGACACCTGTGTGTAAGCTGAAGTACAGGTCATGATTTACTGAGAGCAGGCCAGACTGTTCTGTCTATGTCTGAGAGATATATAGTCGCTTAAGAAGATACTGAGACGAAAACATGCTGGCCATCTAACAGTGTATTAATAAAAACTGCTTAAGGTACATTAGGAAATAAACAGATTTCCCATCAGTACCAATTTATCAAAACAAGATTAATTGCCACGGGTGTGTTTATGTAGGCCAGTGTACAGCATGAGTATCAAGGGAAAGTATGCATAATAAAAAAACATCATTATGAAATGTGTCCATCCTTATGTTGTAACAACATCTGGTTTGCATGCATTTACCGTGTTGCAATAATTTCTGCTCAGTTTTGTGAAATTTAATAGTTGTTTTTTTTTTTTTTTGCTATTCTTCATCTGTAAGTAAATAATAAGTGTTAAAGTGCAGTGAATTGCTGGCACCACTGTGATTTTTCTTAAGGCACCAATTTGGCTTTTATTATTGTTATTTTTTTTAAATTATAGCTTATTATTAATTAGTGTTTCTTCTTTTTAATTTAAGTAAAACTTTTTACAACTTTTTTTTTTCTTTTTTTGTAGCAGGTTGAGATTTCTAAAGATGTTTTTATTTGTATGTCTATATAATTTAGAGTTTTAAATTAAATTATAATTAAATTATAAATTATAATTTAATTTAAATGATAAGGCCTTTTTCCAAGTTATATACAGTAGTCTAAGACAAGAGAGATGTCCTTTTGTAGCCTGCCACCTTGTGGTCTGAATGAAAATAACAGCGCTGTAGAAACAACACCTTTCAAAAGTTTAGGGTCAGTAAGATTTATTTTATTTTTTACCTTTATTCAGCAATGATGCATTAAATTGTTTAAAAATGACACTGAAGACTGGATTAATGGCTACTGAAAATTAAGTTTTGCCTTCACAGAAATAAATTACATTTTAAAATATAAAAATACAGAAAATAGTTATTTAAAATTGTAATAATATTTCACAATATTACTGTATTTTTGATAAAATAACTGTAGCCTTGGTGAGCATAAGAGTCAAAAAAAGTTGCAAATACTGTTTTCTAATTTGACCTTTACAAATTATTTTGTGTATCCTCTTTAGTCAGAAGTAAAATCAATTAATTTAGGTCTTAGTTACCACATAAACGTAAACGAACAAAACATTTTTAGAGTGTGTGTGAAGGGAATAATTTCAGCATGATACACAGACTGTTAAGGACAACAACAACCGTAGAGTATTTATTAACAAGTACACCAGTGTAGTTTATTTATGCAAGCAGTTTGTCCCTACAGATCAGAAAAGCCACTGTCAAGCGGTTGGCACATTTATGTACAAAACAAATTAATGATACGGCTTGCTACTAAGCATTCTTTAGTGAGAGTACAAAAAGATTAGTATATGAGGACAGAGAGAGTGAGCCAGAGTAAGAGAGAGAGAGAGTGAGCCAGAGTGAGAGATAGAGAGAGAGAGAGAGAGAGTGTGTGTGTGTGAGAGAGAGAGAGAGAGAGAGAGAGAGAGGTGAGGGTTCAGAGAAAGCATTAAGTTATGGGCTCAATAAGATCACCACAAAGTAAACAGGCACAAATCAAACACTACCATCGAAGAGTAGGAGTTTCAGCGCAATGTATTCAGCATAGGATTCAAATTACTGCACATTATGAGGAAGGGGATGACCCAGCAAGACAGTCGCATATAACAAACTCATAAAAATGATGAAATGAAAACTGTTTTTCTTGTTTGTTTGTTTTTTTCTTTTTGATTTTTTCCATTATTATTATTGTCATCCTTTTTTTTTTTTTTGATCCAGTAAAAACGATTTCCATTGAATGCATGACCATGCCACAAATAACACTTAGGTTCACAGTCTTTACCTAACATTACAGGGGTGTGACTTTGCAGCCGGAACCCCAATGCACTTACACCAAGAAAGAGCTCACAAAATGGTCAAATAAGTGCACGAAACTAGCTCTTAGAAACACTGACAGAACATGACTTGCCAGGCATTAAAAAAATGAGAAGACATTTCCATCGTCCAATATAATAATGACTTGTTAGCAAGACAACGAGTAACTGTCATCGAGATAATAGTATAAGCTCTTTAAATATTCGTTTTCATTGTGATATTCCCCTTTGGAAAGAAAAAACCCACCGAAAGAAAGTGATCTGTCACAAAACATTACTGTGTCGCCTGGATTTTTTTTTCTTGGGTTTTTAGAAGAACACCCTCCCTCCGCCCACCCACCCTATCCAGTCATGGAATGTATTTTTCAATCTAATACGAATTCACCTGAAGTTTAAGTGCTAACGTACAGTACATACATTTACAGAATGACTATGTACAAAAACGCCAAATAAAAACCCTGTCAGCTTAACCGTGTCTATATCTATTTGTGTAGGAAAATAAAAAAGAGGGGGTCATAACGCTGTAGGCTTGTGCATGTGTCGCTTGCTTCCAGTAAAGGGAGAGTTGCATTGTTGCTGAAGAGGGGGTCGTTGACACTGTAGTAGGATTTAAATGCTTCATGTCCACTTAAAAGTGGTCAGAAAGTTTCTCTCCCTCTCAGAGAAGTTACAACGCCACCTACTTTCACGATGCGGTCTGAAAACTGGACTGCCACAGCAAGCAAATAATAACCATTTTGTCTTTTTGTAATCATCTTGATAAGCTATGCAATGACATCTGTAGAAAAATAATAAATAAACACTTTATGTTACATCTGTTATATCTTAATTTTGTTTTTTTGTCTTTTCTGTCTCAGTTTTTGAGTTTTCTTTTACCAAAATAATGCAGAATGAACAAGCCATCTGCTGGTCTTGGGCTTCATACCTTCTGATGATTAAAAAAAAGAAGGACAGAAAGAGGGAGAGAGAGAGAGATTTTTTTTCCCAAAATGTTTTTCATGCTTTAAGTCCTTGATAATGAGACCTTAAGAGACAGACACACATGAAAAAATGTGCTTTTTTTCACCCCAATAACCATCCTTCTACATAAGAATGATTCATGTACTGATACTAAAAGGTGTTTAAAAAGAGAAATATATTCAAAAATTGTAATATGTGGTGGGGAAAAAAAAAAGAACCAGCACAATCTCTTAAAAAATGACAATAATGTGAAAAAAACTACAACACTACTGCTAGCACTAATAATAATAATAATAATAATAATAATAATAATAATAATGTTTGTGCGAGAGGTAATGGGTTGGCCATGGGGTCGCTCTCCCGAGAGAGATTTTTTTTCCCAAAATGTTTTTCATGCTTTAAGTCCTTGATAATGAGACCTTAAGAGACAGACACACATGAAAAAATGTGCTTTTTTTCACCCCAATAACCATCCTTCTACATAAGAATGATTCATGTACTGATACTAAAAGGTGTTTAAAAAGAGAAATATATTCAAAAATTGTAATATGTGGTGGGGAAAAAAAAAAGAACCAGCACAATCTCTTAAAAAATGACAATAATGTGAAAAAAACTACAACACTACTGCTAGCACTAATAATAATAATAATAATAATAATAATAATAATAATAATAATGTTTGTGCGAGAGGTAATGGGTTGGCCATGGGGTTGGTCCACTCGCCCTCACTGCTGCTTCCTGTCTTATGTGTAAGCATTGAGCCGTTCCTTGGAGCGTGTAGAGTGGATGTCATGCAGCTCCTGCTCCTCCTTAGACTTGCAGTCCTCATATTTCTGCATTTTACAAGCATCCTTCACATAGGCCCAGTTGGCAGACAGCACCATCAGGTAGTGGATCTGAAGCAACACAATATAATATTAAATAGCGGCAACAGAGAGTCAACTAAACCTTTGCATTTATATTATTCGGATACAATTGTTCTTATAAAACACACTTACACTTATAATTCTTATAAAATGACTTTAAAAAAAAAAAATAATAATAATTTATAATTCAGATAACATCAACATTCACAATTTTATTATGGACACTTATTTTTAATTTACATATGGTCAGACTGAATTTGGAGAAGAATTTACGATAAACCTTATAGTATTCTTAATTTGAAAACTATTAAATTATTATTCATTGTACTATCATTTGTACATTTATTCATAATTCACAATTCATATTTTGTAGTTTGAAGCTGTAAATAAAATTATTAAAGTACTTTTTACAAGAAAATACTATTTCATTATTTCTACTTCAAAATTTCAAGTTTATTTCGATGTGTCACATGCAGTTTCTTTGCAATTATTTATGAAATTACTCGCAATTTCAGAGTGAAATTTGTTTCTACAACAATTTATTTTTTCAGTGCACACACACTACACATGCAAGTTTGGAATATTTTGGATTATATTTGGACTATTTTAATATATATTTAAAATGTCATTTGATGGGATGACAAAGCTGAATTTCTCCAGTCTTCAGTGTCACATGACCCTTTAGAAATTATTACAATATGCCAATTTGGTGCTTAAGAAATTATTCTCATCTTATTATTTTCAATGTTAAAGTTTTTTTTCTGCAATATTTTCATGATTCTAAAATATTACTGATTTTACTGTATTTTTCATCAAATAAATGCAGCCTTGATGAGCAAAAAAAAAAAAAAAGATTACTAATTATTTTACAATTTTGACCTGTAGTGTATGTGTGTAAATATACATATATACATTACATTTTTTGTTAATTCATTTAGAATAAGAAAGAAAGGTTCCAAGTTGACAGCAGACTGTGATGACGCATGTTTGTCACTCTAAAATTAGCAGTGACACCAGCAGGAGGCAGCATTGTAAAGCAGCCAGACTCCTCTCATACGTGCGCTTAGGAGGAAATTCTACAGTCTACTTCAAATATGCATGAAAATACCTTGATGAAGGCCATGCTAGTTCTTATTATGTAACCTAGCAAAGGTTTTACATGTGTGAACAAAAACAATATATAATGGGTTATCGCACAAAAACATGAAATCAAATACAGTGCGTTGGGTAATAAGCATCTACAGTCTTGACATGATCTAAATTATATACATATATAAAAATAGGTTAAGAGTGAATTATTGTCCTGCATGAGAGCACACACTATATGTTCTTTACTTCAGTGCATTATTATGCAAATCAGATTGACATTATGCATGCTCATTTGAATAGGGCCACACCCTGATTTTCTCATGCTTGGATTTATTACCCATCCCAGAGAGCGCGAGGACGCATTGTGTTTAACAATCAGTTAAATTTGCTCTTTCCACAGCAGGGGATGGAAAAGCTCTTTCTATAATTTGCTACATCATCCCAGACTAACAACCACATTCTCTTTTTCAGAAAATGGTTCCTCTAAATTATTGAGTGTGCTTGCTACAAGCTCTAGGGCCTTTCGTCTCCCAGTTTCCATGACAACAAAATGACATGCCCAGCGTCTCTCCGTGTATGTGAGAGAAAGACAGAGAGAGAGAGGAAACCGAAAACAGGCACAAAGATAAAAGGAGAATGTTAAAAAACAACAAAGAAAAGCCAATAAGAGAGAGCTGACAACAATCCCAATGCTCACTCCCCCAGAATTCCTAGGAAAACAGTAACAGTGATTCATGACTTTATCCCATTCCAGTTTAGACCACATTCCAGTTTAGACCAACATAAAGGGGCTAAAGCAGGTATTGTCATTAATTCAGCTGGCATCATCATCATCACCCATATCATTGCCAGTTTAAAAGAGGGAATTTCAAATTTGTTCACACCACAATTTTTCTAGTATCTTTTGTCAGTTTTTCTATTTTCTTTTAATCATACATACATATATATATATATATATATATATATATGCATTGCATTGCACCCATAAGTACAACCTCTTCTCTAAGGTGCAGTGTATGAATTAATAATTGCATTATATTAATCAAAACTCACCATGGCAATGATTGCTGCTCCAGCCCCAGCCAACGCACACACAAACAAATGGAAAGTCATATCCAGCTTTCAGAAAAAAATATTGAGAGAGAAATTAGTCTTGGAATGCTTTTCATTGTGGAAATGACCTATACAATCACTTGATAACATGGCTTGCGTACCTCATTCGATTCACACATTTTGTAGAACTTCTCTGATCCTGCACATACAGTCTTCTCCTCTCCAATGGGCACAACACCTAAAATAAATAGTTTTTGTGATTCCTCTAAAACAATCTGTGTTTTTAGGGTATGTGAGGTTATAGGAACGGACATTACACTTTTTTAATTTGGATAACTACCAGTAAAAAAGAACAAAATTACAACACAAACAAAAAATTTTCATTGAAATGTCTTTCCTTGTACAGTTAAGCACACCTAATCATCTGGCACTGAATCACACAGACTGTAAACATACCAAATTGGCGCGGGTCAAGACATAAACTTGCTCCCTCCAGAACGGTCATGTTTTGGCAAATGGTCCAGATGTTGAAGTACATGAAGACAGGCAAAGAGGTGAATGCTGTCACACCCAGCCAAGCCAACATGAAGATGTATGTCAACATGATGAACTGAAGAAAAGATATCCAAATGTCAAATCAAGAACTAAATGATAAAATCATTAAGAATAAAAATCATAAGCGTTATAAATTAATATAAGTGTTATAAATTAATTACAGTAATTGCAACCACACAATATATTTCATGTTTTACTTGGCACAAATGAGGGGAAAATAACTTGCAGAGTTCACTATGTACTGTAATCTTTTATAGCCTATAAACGGATGTCATATTTATGTGCGGCAGTTACTCTTAGTGGCTTTGCTGTTGCCCTTTTCTAAATTACAATGCATGAAGCTCTCCCAGTGATTTCTCACCCATGCACTGACACAGCGCCCACAGGTTGTGATCTTGAAGTCTCCATACAGGTCCTTGATGAATTTATATATATATATATATATATATATATTAATAATAATTGCTTTAACCATTAACCTCAGTACTTTTGATTAAATTTAGGCGAGAATGTGGTAAGATGAGCCAGTGGTTAAAATGAGCCACTCCTTGTATCTAGGTAATTATAAACAAAAGTAATCATGTTCAACATATTAAAGTAGTATCGTTCACATTACTCAATCCATCTTGGACTCAAAACACATGGAGAGAATTATAAGCAAACTAGAGAGAAATTGTCATGTCAAGTGAAACAATCATATTACTAAAGTTTTGTATATGAATTAAAATAGATAATTTTGGGGCATTATTACATGTTAATTTAAAGGGGTCATATGATGCGATTTAAATTTGTCCTTTCTCTTTGGAGTGTTACAAGCTCTTGGTGCATAAAGAAGATCTGGAAAGTTGCAAAGACTAAAGTCTCAAATCTAAGGAGTCCAGCCCGGGGTCGTCACATGTGGTTGCCGCAAGCCCGCCGGCCACTCCTTCGTTGAACCCGCCGGCCGCACCGTTCTCAAGCCCACCCGCCACCGCTCACTAGTCCGTGTCACTAGTTAAAATTGCTTATTTCTCTGGATTTAAACATTCTTCGAAACATTTGGGATAATGTAAGTACACAAGTCAGCAAAATATATAAGACTGTACTAGTGGTTTTTGGATATTTTAATAAAAAAATCTTACATATTGTGCCTTTAAGCCAGTGTAAACTACAAAACATGTACATAAATTTATCATAATTATGGATTTTAGCTCCTATGCAAAACAGTTTTGTCAAAATGGAGGTTTGTGCCAGTAATATTGTAGTCTCAGCTTCAGACGTCACGCCCACGGACCGTCTGATGCATATGGCACACAAAAGTGGAAACACTTCAGGAGTTTCGAAGTCGTCATCGGATTGGTTGAATTGTTTAATTGAACGTTCCGCCTAGAAACAAAGATGCCTTGCCGCCAAATCCCCTCACGAAAGAAGAAAGCCATTGTGTTTACAACTGTGACGACAAGCGCTTATCAGGATCAACTTAACGCTGGATTTTCAAAAGTATGTGAAATATTTAAAGTTCTTTAAAGAAATATTATAAAATCTTTAAAATACGTCCGAGAGTTTTATAGCCGTATTTAAGTCTGTTATTGTGGCGACATTTCCACGCCCCGAAACGTGACGATGAACGAAACGCACTGTGATTGGTTGTTTGACATGTCGGTCAAACGGCCTCATGGGCGGGCCTAGGCCAATAAAAGCTGCCATGGATTCCAGACCTTCAGCCGTCATTCTGAAGGTCTGGCTAGGCGAGACTAGTAATATTGAGTCAATGGCTCAATTTATCCCAAAAAGTTAGGCTACATATGTACAGCATTAACTATGTAAAAAAAAAAAAAATATATATATATATATATATATATATATATATATATATTGGTATCCTACAGATAAGATCAACATGGCAATGCAGTACAAAAGAAAAACAAATAGAAAGTTTAATTCAAACATGCTGTATATATATATACAAGTGCTAATTTACACATACATTTCTGTATCTAAAACGCAAAGATCACAGTTTAATATTTATTGAACATTTTCAGGTAATTGATATGTTTTTTGCATGTTTGTTATATTGATAGCATTAAAAAAATTTAAATTATCTAAAAATAGTTTGATGTTGTGTCATTTTTTATATTAGTATAAAATATTAGCATATTATTTAACCCATTCACTTGCTCATTTTAGCCCTACCTTGTGGAGTATGACTAACTTTTTTTAAAGGGTCATTGTTATACATCCATAATAATTAGATAACTTGTTTTAATTTACATCCATACACAACAACCTGAGGTATATATAGTAACCATAATAAAAAAATAAAAAAATAAAAAATTTTATTTATTGAAAAAAAAATCTCTTCATTCCCATTTGCTTAATTAAACAATTCATTTGTAAAAGCCCCTCCCCCCTGCTTGCTTCTCTAATAAATCTATATTGTTTTAAAGATGTTTATCTATATTGTTTTAAATATGTTTGATGCATACCAACAATGTTAAAAAAACATATTGTTTGTGGTGTGAGAAAAATGTATATATTGTATATAAAATGTATATAATACATGTATATAATTGAAAATCTATAGTGAAAAATGGGCGGTTCGATATGCTGCTTACACTTACATTGTAAACACATCCAGACCATCTCCAGGTCCCCTGATCACCTCAAAGTAGTTCTGGAGGATGGTAACCGTTCCAGAAAGAGCTTCATGTCCACATCCACAGAAGAGCGCCACTCCAGCATACAGCAGGATGGTGGCAATCAGGGATGGATAAGGGATTCCTCCTAAACATTTCAGACAACACTCCATACATCCTGAGAGGAGGAAGAAAAAAGAGGTCATGTTATTCATCTGAAAGCTACGGCTGGGGAAAACAAGATGCTTTTTAATCATCAAGATCTTCAATATGTTTTGTGTGTCTGTATTTGATTCTATTGATCATATTTGGTTTTGTGGTTTGGGTTTTTCTGCATTTATTAAGTTTAACTTCAGCAGTTTTCTGTCATTTAACAGAGCAGTATTCTTGCACAGAAAGCAAAGCTAGTATAAGTAGTCTTCTGTGCTCTTCTTAGTGTGTAGCCCCTGCCTGACAAGACTAACAAGTACCCAGACGGTTGGAAGTAAATTCTCAATCCATTCACTCTGAGGGTCCAGTTGATTCTGTGTGTGTGTGTGTGTGTGTGTGTGTGTGTTACTCTCCAATGATTGTAAAATTGTCACTGTGGCAGACTATTTTAAATTCTCCCCTTGGCATCATATACTGTAACACATATATAATACATATAACAGTATGATTCATGAATAACAAAATGAATGGTAGGATGCGAGGATGGACTTTGACACTTAGTCATTCTGATTGAGTTTTTCCAAATGATTGCCTTCATGTCTTTCATTATAGGCCTACTTTAACTTTAGATTTCACATCTCTGCAACAGATGAGACAAGTGCATTATGTTTAGAAAAACATAAGTTTTTAAGTTTATTACATTTCCTTGTCTATTTAAGTGTGTGATGCATTCTAGGCAAACTGCTTTAAAAAAAAACACATTGATATATATACTGTATATATATATATATATATATATATATGAAGAAATATTTAGAAAAGTTTATATATATAAATATTTTTTATATAAATATATTTCTTCATAGAAATATTTGACACACATAACACAATTATTACAACTTAAGCTACAATTAAAATAAAATTACACACAAAAGACATGCCTAACCCTAACAACATAAACAAAAGCACTGTCCTGGAGGGTCCTCTAATAATAAAGCAATCGCTGCTCCCACCCTGTCGCCCCCACACCTCCCCCCCATGTCCCTCAATCACCCCATCCAACCCCAACGCCCATCTGTCAGTCTGACAGCCACAGTGCCACTCCCACCTTGCCCCACCCCCAACCTCCAATCAATCCCTGGGACTGTGGGGTCACTGCAAACCAGTGGTCACCCTGATATCCAGGCATGTTCGGAGGGGAAACGTTCTCACAAGACTCTCAAAGACTGCAACAAAACGCTAATCCGCACCACAGAAGGGAGAGAGAGAAAGGGAGAGTGAAGGGATAAGAGATTGCGACAGATGAAAGAATAAGGCAGTGGGAGTCAGAGAGAGTCAGATGGAGAGGAAAACAGATGCAAGTGTTAGTTAATATGTAGTGAAACTATTTTTATTAAAATATTTTTACCTTTTAAGACCCACTGTTAAACCCTCTCCATTCATAACCAGCTCAATCGGGCCCTCTTCGACCTTTGTTTTAATAGGATTTGAATAATTTGTCAATTTAAAGTGATTAGCATTTCATTACCCTGAATGCCATTTTTTCTGTCCAAAAATAATTCAAATTCAAATGAACTCAATCACATCAAGTGGCTACATGAGGGGCGCTGTGTCTCTATCACTATCACGGCCCCTCCCTGAAAGTGTGTGGGTTTTCATCACTGCACGTCTGCGTGACAAATCTGCGCATGTTTAATCAACCAGCAGGGTTGCCACGGTGATGGAGGTGCGGGCCCTGAGAATGGGCCGGGCCTGTGCGCGCACCATGACCCACTTACAGCGCCGTGTGTCAACACATTCAGCGGCAAACGGGCTGAATGGGAGACACATTTACAAGGATTACAGGGGGGAAAACACAGTCCAGCACCCAACGCAGCAGGAACGGCAAAGACTACATGACTTCACCCAACCCCGCTGCTGATGCTGGGGCTGCTAGAAGATTCTAACACATCCCACATTCATCTGGAAAGGAACCCATTTAGACTCCTTAATATGTTGTTTGTTTGTATCTGGATTTGAAATACACCAAATATGGCATTCTTGTAAAACCCTCTACACTCTACGAAAAGTTTGTAAAAATATTTCCCAATGTACCAAGTTAATAAGGAGTTTTTTTTAGCCGAATTTTGAATCATATTGCATTGTGTTGTGTTTTAGGGTTAAACGAAATGTCTGTTATCTTAACGGAAAACTATCTGAAGAACCTGTTTCTTGTTCCACTCTCTGTTCTCATTGTCATTTGGCCTGTTAGAAACAATAGGGGGAACAATACTGCACAGAATTCACTTTCTATGAATAGCCATGATTCAGTTTTGAAGACAATTAGTGAAACTTTAGTGTCCCTGAGAGGTTTGACGGGAACAATAGGAGTGTCCAGATTACAGGGTTGCCTCTGCATCACACAAGGTTGGGTAAATGAAAAAACAGGAAGGAAATGGGATTGCCAGATAACTTGCATCCCACAGAGGTATAGAATTCAATCACGCTTTCATTTCCATTTCAACATTGCAGTTTAAAACAATGTGGTGCTTTACAGAGCCATCAAACCTTAGAGAAAAAGAGAAGTACATTTGCACCACAGGATCGAGACTGATGGGAATATTCAAACAAGTGCTAATAATCCTAGCGTAATGCATCAGCCAATCACAGTTTGCATTGGATATTAACAATGAAACGGGTTTGTTATATACTGAGCAGCTAAAAATAGTATGAGAGGCATAACAACATGCAATGGTGGGCACAAAAATCTCAAATTATAGGTAAAAAACAAAATATAGGTAACTAACTATCAAAAATCAGGTCAATACATTTTATATGCCAGAAAACATTAACATAAGATTTTAAAATTGCCCGGTTTCTGACATCAGAACGTAAACAGACATGCGCGGAAGACACAAGCACATTGAATTGGGTATTGAGGTAATGGGCAAAAATCTGTGTGCTAAACCGTGTATCAACTTCATTTGAAAATATTAGAAAATAGTTTTTAGAGCATTTAGATTGTTACGCACATGTAAATGCCCTCATACTGTATCTTTCTATAAGAGCACACAATGCAGAAACATTAACTTTATGAACATCTCTTATCAAAATCTTTTCAGTGGATGATGTTACACAGTCAATAGAGATTGATAAGAGCCCATCTAACAGACTGAACTCTGTCAACAGTGGCGATGACAGAAATTTGCAGGAAAAAGCCTTAAATAAAAGATGAGGAGTGGGATGGTATCTGTGTGTGTTATTGGCCTAATGTCTTCTAATCCAATAATCATTAGAGGTAATGAAATGTCCATTCTCCCATGAGGCCGCTTAGTTCCCCACTCCATCTATAGTGCAGCGGTAGGGTCAGCACAGCAGTCAATCTTATTTGGTTAAGGTTTTCTGTTTTGGAGTTAAGAAAATTGTGTTGCAGTCATTGTATCATTAGTAAGTATTGTGTGTTAGGTCAAATGGCACTGAATTAGGGAATTATGCATTATATCATTATATATATATATTGTAAAGTATTTCTGTAGCTAAAGTTCTGCCAAATGCAAAAATGTAAATGATATGATGTTGGTCACCTCAAATGTTTTTCTTAATAATAATAATAATAATAATAATAATAATAAGAAGAAGAAGAAGAAGAAGAAGAAGAAGAAGCAGAAGAAGAAGAAGAAGAAGAAAACCATTAAGAATATTTATGGATTTATAAACTAAATAATGTAATAATGTAATAAAAATTTTCATTAAGTATTGCTTTTTGGGATTTTTACAGACCAATTTGGAAATCTTACTGAGTACATATGAAAATATTAAAGAAAACAAAAAAGAAAAAAAAAACATGTCAAAAGAGACATACATCTTATCCTAGATTTGCATTTTTATCAAGAAGTTCATCAGGTGCACTTTATGGACAATAAGCATTTCCTATATACACAAAACAATCAAACCATCTATTTATATGCAAAACAACTTAAAAATACAGAAGAAAATTAATAAAATAAATGAATATTAACAGGCTTTATGCATTTCTGATTTTCAGATCAAATTACTGGATGCAGCCAATAAAAAAAAAAAAATATCACATAAACAACAAACACGCTAATAAAACACCAAAACACCCCAACAGGTTCAGCATAAATCAGTGATCTTCTCAAATTTCATGTGCTAAATACAGAGGTGGAAAGTAACGAATTACATTTACTCGCATTACTGTAATTGAGCAGCTTTTTTGTGTACTTCTACTTTTTAAAGTAATTTTTAAAATCTGTAATTTTACTTTTACTTAATTATATTTTGTTTGAAGTATTGTACTTCGCTACATTTCTAAAACACATTAATTATAGAGTAAAAAATCGCTCCCTGGAAACTACTGCAGTAAATAATGGCAGGAGAACAATGCGCTAAAATCACAAGAAAGATGGAGACGGACAAGACAGGCGTTATGGTGCAGACCCAGCTGAGTCGTATTCTGTTGAAGCTGAACTCGAAGGAAATGAAGTGAAGCCCTGGCCATATTAATGCTCTATTATGCAGTGTAAGCTGTGTTTGCCTAGGGAGACCAAACTAGCAGTTTATAAAATCTCAAAATTAACCCTTCGCAAGCATGTAGATAGAGGTAAGCGAAATACTTGCATCATTGCATTGGTGGTTAAAATGAAGCTTTGACAGTTTAGCAAAAGGTTTTGCACAAATTAGAAAAAAAAAGACAGTGGTGCAGGGTGTGCGATGACGAAGCGGATATCGTCCTCTTTTGGAAGGCCAAACAAAGTAGTTTCGCTTTCACAACGAAACACAGCGTCTTCACGACATGGCGGCAGCAGCAACAAAACGACAGCGAGAATAAAAGTTACGCCTTCTTTCTTTGCGTGAACATTTGGGTGGCGTTATGCAAATCTTCCCACATCGTGACGTAGACATGTGGGGGCGTGTTAGAACGAGCCGTTTTAGGTAGGCGTGGTTGACTCTTAACTTTTATAAAGAATATCTCTTTGGATTTGAGACTTTAGTCTTTGCAGCTTTACAGATCTTCTTTATGCAACAAGAGCTTGT